AGAAGTTGTGGATGCCCCATCCCTGGAAGTGTTCAAGACCAGGTTGGACAGGGCTTTGAGCAACCTTGGCCAGTGGAAGGTGTCCCTGCCCACAGCAGGTGCATTGGAACTAGAAGATCTTTAAGGTTCCTTCCAACCCAAACCATTCTATGATTCTATGATTCCATGATTCTTTGATTCTATGATTTTATGAAATCTCAGCCTCAGGCATCCTGGGTTCTTCAGAGGACTGTGAACAAATCTCTTTTTCAGAATCTGGTTGCCCTTTTTCTTTGCCTTCCCACCCGTGAATCCATGAATTCTATCTGCCTTCAACTGTTTACATTGTTGTACAGAAGTTGATTTTTTTTTCCTGCTTTTCTATACTACTGCAGCAACACTAGCAGGGCATTGAGAACAAAGGAGAGCCTGTCTCTTTCCTCCATTTAAGTAACTAGAGTGAACAAAAAAGGGCCCTTCCTAGTTTGCAAGTCTGACAAGGTCAGTGCTGAGTTGACTGTGGTGGCAATATATGCACAGTCCCCTCCACCATCAAAGAAGGGCACTGGGGTGGGAAAAGCATTGTAAGTGGTACAGGCTCTTCCAAGACATGTTCTCAGAGTCGCATCCACAGACCATTCAGTTTATGATAGCTCAGTCAAATGACAACATATCTATGGAAACACTCACAAATCTATTTCTGATACTTAATGGGAATAACCCTATCCCCCATCCACCAGCAAGTCCCTGTTCCACTGTACAAAAGAACCACAGAGGTTCTCAAATAATTGGCTGGGAAACTTCAGGACAGAAAGAATGAATAAGTTTTTTCCTTAATCTTCCTCTCCCAAATCACCAAACTGCTTAAAGTAGAGTTCCATGACTTTTTTTCAAGCACAAACTGACACATAAAAATGCCAACTGTGAGATATCTAAATTTCCAGAATTTTTAGTAACTCAAAACAGGCTCTTCCAGAAGAAAGTTTTGGCAGCTACGAGCTCTGTCTACAAATCTAGATACAGAGAAAATACATTCAAGTATTGAGAATAACATCTCAGCAGCATGGCTGCAGGACAATTCAGTCTGATAGTAACAGTGAAGCCATAACCAAGTAGATACTATATACAGCAGCTCAGTTGAACTCAAGTAAAATCTTCACCATATCATCACTCATTTTCTTTTTGCTAGATGTGTCAGAGGAAAACCCTGTCTAAGGCATTGGGAATTGAAGACTAGAAGCTTCAGAGATGGCTTTTGAAGTTTAAAGGTGTGTGATAAATTTATCAGATGGTGCTGCAATTTTTAAAAAATATGAATACGCCTTTTGTACTTATGTTCAGGAAAGATGCCTCCTGGCCACCGTACATAAGCTTTCTCTCCTGCTAACATGCTGTTGGACACTGGCATGAAATACTTAAGTTGGCTAACAAGAAACAAAATTTAGAGACTGAAAAAAAGCATTTCCTAACAGCAAGTGAAATTATCATTTTGTCTCCATCTATTATCAAAGTTAACAATTGTGATTGTGCCACTACATAGAGATGGCTAAATCAAGCAGAACAGGCGCCAAATGCAACTATTTGTTATTTAGGCAGATGATCATTCAAGCAGTATTTAGCTTATCAGTAATTCTTCCTATTATGTCTTCTACACTGGAGAACATTTCACAAAATCAGAAAGGGTGGAACTGCATAAATAGGGGCAGCTTTTATCCTGCTATATTTTGTTTATAAGTGTCAGGTTATCATATTAAGTTCTCTGTTACAAAAAATTGATGTTCACTTACATCACAGCTGGAAAGTACAAACAAGCTTCATAGCAAAAATATTTTGTAGGAATTTATCTATTACTCCTTTTAATTGAAAATTTTTAGCCACCGTAGCAGAATGCAATATATTGTACAGCTCCTAGTAAGCATCAACAAAATTGCCTTGCTACAGTAATACAAGAGCAAATAGGATTCAAAAGAAGTAATCTAATTTTTATCTAATTCCAGTAATTTGATTTTATCAGAACTTAGCTATAGCTGTGGACATCATAGTCATAGTACTACAGCATTCTACTTCACAAGCCAGCATAAATTCAAGTACTTCAGACTCTTCCTTGATACTTTTCATCTGACAAGTGTGAATATCCTGAAAAAAAAATGTTTAATGTATCGTGGTCAAACCACCACTTTGTGTGTGTACGCTCCCAAGCACACCCATAGGCTTCAGGATTTTTTGAATATTCAAAACAATTCCTTTGCTCACGTATGAATAAGATGATGTAAAGAGCATGGTTTCTCCTGTCCTGAGGTATGCAGAGCTCTCTTGCTACAGATGTTCAATTTTGGGTTGTTTTTTTTTGTTTGTTTGTTTTATCCTAGGAGAACCACCGCTGATTTAGTTAGCCCATCTTGAAAGGTAGCACTTCACTCTTCCTACCTACTTCACTCTTCCTCACACAGATGCTGTAAGTAAAATGGTCATGAATGCCGATATGCTTTTTCATCAGAAAAGACATATCTGTCCCTAACAACAGGACAAACCCCCAACATGTAAATGTCTTACTGGAGCAAGAACCTGGCTATTGAGAACTGGTTACACGGACAGCAAACGACCCTGTTTTGGTGTCCACCTACCCAATCCAGATGGTGGCAGGCTCCTGGTTTCTCAGAGCATGGCACACCAACCACTGCATGTGAATCTGCTCTCTCACATACCTGAAAGGTCCATATCACTACCTGACATGGAACCAAAAAATGTGGCTATTCAGGAGTTGTAAAGGAACAGGAAAGCTCTTTGTAGGCCAGTTGTTTACCTAGCCCAGTTTGCAAGGGTCGTCAGGTCTTGAGACAGGAGGCATGAAGCTACCATCATGATGACTACGCTTTTCATTTACACAGCAGCTATTTTATAGCACCTTAAAAAGATGAGAAATAATTTCAAAACCTTCAAGAACATCCAAAGTAAAATTTTTTTTTTTTCTGAAGGTAGATGGGGAAACAAGCCAACTGACGTTTTTTGCTTGAATGTTTTAAAAAATTTTTGCAGCACTTTAATCAGCAAATTTCAAGGAACTTGAAGAGAAAGATGCTGGATCCATTTTATAGAGATGAGGCAGTTTATCCAAGGTGTCATAACAGGTCATATCAGATCCAGGCGAAGAACAGACATTTGATTTCTAGCCTCTGTAGTACCCTTATAGCATCATTCATTTAATTACAAAATCTATTTATATGTATGTAACCAATTAATGCCGTAGTTGTTTTGAACCTTCACGGTGGATCATAAAAGCACTCTTATCCTAGAACAGTATTTTGAAACTAAGCATCAATAATTAGGTTATCAGTTGCATTTAACTCTAGAAGGCAGCAGCAATCTTCCATTTTGCAAATGTACCACTAGTCTTTATTTTTCCTTCGTAATACCAGAAAGAGCTCTGATATTCTGAAATATGCCAGACAGTACCTGCCACAACACACCACCTCTAGAGAAAGTGTCGTCAATTGGAAATGCATTCCAATTCTCACTACTAAGCAATTTCTTAGACTAAAGGGATTCTGACTGATTTCATGGTACAAGAAAAGACAGTTACTATAACACAGAAAAATTAAATTGTTAATTGAGGTGTCACATAATAAATAAAAAGATTTCACTCTCCACTTGAAAAAGTATGAATAATCATGTAAGGGCTACAGTGAAATAAAGATCTGTTTGCCTCAGCATATAAAGGACGGGGTTTGTCATGAAAAAATTTTAGAGTCCATGTATTCAGGCTTTTTTTGCAAGCAGAACTCTAGAAACAGCAGTGCTCAGATTTAAATTGGATTTTGAAAGGGTCTTTTTCCTGTGGCAGGCAGTCAGAAATCCTGCTGACGGACCAATTTACAAGAAACAGATGATGTCATTTTGATAAAGCTCTCTTCTAGTTTCACATACCCAACTGTTTCAGACAAATTCAGACTTTCTGCTTTCTGTGAAACATCCAAAAAGGTCAGGATCCCAAAGACTGAAGGGAAATAGACAAGAAAGGGAAGTACATTATTCATCAAGTTTGCATTTTAATACCAAGCTATATATGTCTGTGTGTATATTCCATTGTGTCCAGGAAACTGCATGCATACTGCGTTTAGTAAAGTTTCTTGATTCCTACAGGTATAAAATAATAGGATTGAAAAGAACATCAACAGACAAAATGTAGCAAGTAAAAGGACAGTATTTCTTTGTTTATTTTAAATCATTATTACATTGATAGAATATTATTTTAAAAGGAAGACCATAATATATTCATTCAAAACTAGGCTGTTAAGCATATATATTTAAACTCTAGTTTTTCATACATGTAATGAAAGAAAATTGTATTTTACAAATAGCTATTTTTAATAGACCTTATGCAAAACATGTCTAAAAATACCTGCCAAAATCTGTTTCTTTAAATGTACAAAACACCTTTGCTGCACTGAAGAAATCTGTCTTAAAAGCCAAAAATATCTAAGTCAACAGTTGAGTCCACGTCAAACCCTACTGAAAGCAGTAGTGACATAAAAATGTAAAAGTACTGTACGAAGTAAGTACAGCTTTTGTCTTAATACTGTACATAGTTGTATTTGTTTAGAAAATGTTTTATAAAAACTGTCATTATTGAACTTATCCTTTCCTGTCTGCAGAAAAATCAAGCCACTGAAATTATCTCTGTTTACTAAAATGTCTCCTCTGCCTCTGAATGTGAATCTTCTCTCATAATTCAGAGGGAATTTTACCTCTTATTTCAATGTGAATAGGACTGGAAGTTTTCTTCAGCATATCCCCATGTAATCCCTGTTACTCTCACTTGGTTTCCCCCTTAGTTTCACAATGCAAAACGTTACAAAATCTTTAATACATTAACTGAAGAAACCAGAACTCAAGTACTTCAGCTTACGAGGCTGGTGTACAGATTAGTTCACTGTAAAAGCGGGTGTTCAATTAAGCCGAAACCAATTGCAAATAATGCCGCATGCTTTTTAATCAACATCCTTCTCTCTCTCTTGCTTCCTTTATAGCCCCTTCTGACATTTCTTCTGGAATGAGCTTTTTAAGAAGGTGCGGTATCCTGGATCATCCACATATTCATTCCTAAAGCGTGAACTCAGTACTCTCTGCCTCTTCTTCTCTCCCAGGATAACGTCTGCTCCACAAAATGTGTCTTCAAATCTCATGTCAGAGGCTGTAGACTAAAACCAGACAACAATTACACATACAGCTTCATGCAGGACATCATATTCTGACATAGTTCACACAAGTTACATGGAAACTCAGATACACTTCACTAGATCATATGAAGCTAGCTATATTACTGATTATGTAGTTGCAACTGTTTTCAGAAAAATGTCTAAATATTAAATACATTTCTTAAATGCACACTTAAAATATAATTTTTACTTTTCCACATTTTGCATGTACTACTCATAATTTAATTCTCAAGGTCTGTAGTGTTCCTTAGAAACATGTGACTAACACCAGTTGTTAGTTTTGATTTTATACAGAGGTCACACAATCACCCTAATTCAAGATGAAAACCAGCAACATGGAAGTGATGCAATTGCTGGGCAGGTTTGCTCTTAGCAGTATCAAGTATTATCCACCACTTTGTGTAACTCAGAAAAGTTTTAAGTGCAAGGTACTATGGCATGGACCTCTGAAAAGAAACCTGCACACTGCCTAATTTGCAAAGAACTGGAGTCACAAGTTTGGTTGGTTGTTAGCAAACTTAAAGCAGTTGGGAATCAACTGAAACAAAGCAGTGGACAGCAAATAGCAAGCCATTTGGGAAAAAGCAGTGGCAGAAAATTTTGGACCAACTTCCACTACTGGAGCCATGGCAAAATTCTCAGGATTAGGAAAAGCATCATTAGGAGGAATTGGTGTCATTTATTTCACAAGGCAGAAACAATACCATAAGCTGTCTTTAACTTGCACTGTCTTCAGCATGAGGAGGGGAAGGAGGTGTTAAGCATACCTTGAGGACTAAGCTACATATTTGTAGAATTTGAGGCAATAGTAGGAAATCACGCAAAGGTCTAAGCACAAACTGCGCTTTGTTTTATTTACTTGACCAAATGCACTGTTTTTAATCTATACTTAACTCCCCTATGAAGTTAATGGTGTCAAATAAATATTCATCTATAAAAACTCCATTGTAAAAAGAGCAGAATAAACCCAACTACATCTGTACTGTTATCCTTTGTGAAATGCCACAGTTTACATTCTACAGAACATGCAGTTAATTATAAATGCTTTTTACACGTAGTCTCTAAAACAAAAAATTGTAATGGAATGCTTTCTGACTATAATGAAAAACCCCATTGAATATAACCAGATGGTTCATTTAACATTTTCCAAGACATCTATCTTAACCCAAGGTGGTCAGGACACAGAAAGATGTGTGCACTTATGCCAAATACATTGACAAAAAGGTGTCTTGGCCAAGAACATTTGATCACTGCACCTCCCGTTAGAAAGAGCTGTCCTAATCTTACTCTATTCCTTCAATAAAACAGGGCATCCTGCTGGTGAACACTCCCTCAGCAGGCTGACAGCCTCACGTTTCTCTGTCTCTCTTCCTTTCCCAGCTTTACTGTCCTTTTCACACATGGCGCCAATCCTTTCCTTCGACACACCTCTAGCTTCTGAAATATGCTGAGAACTGGATGAAAGGAAATTATAACGATGATGGCAGCTGCATGTGGCAAGAAGCATATAAAAGGAAAGTCAGACTGAAACCTTCTTCAGCTGGGTCTCCATGTAATGTTACATTCGTCCACCAAACTCATCTCATCTGATGTATGTCTGAAGAATCAACTCTACACATCATTCTCCTACAACTCCTTGCACCCAGCTCTCAAGAATCAGCTAATTAACGTCACATAACAGATGTGTGAGCTGGTAATGTGTATGTGCCCTCCTCCCTGCAGCAATGAAGAATGCACTGTACACTGCTCTCCTTTTCAAAGCTTCACTGAAAGTATTCTTTAAATAAGAGGGATTTTTTTATTCAGATCACTGAATTATTGTTTATTCTCAATTATGACAAGATTTTTGCATCTTTATGCTTTGGGTTTATATGTTAAGAAACCTAACTTTTAACCTGCAATGCAGTTTTGAACAAACAATTCTAGAATAGGACACAGACATGAGAAGAACGTGGTGCTCTTCTCAGTAAACACAATATTTAGCATTAATGACAAAGACAGGTAACAGCAGTCACCTTGTCTCCTCCAAGAACTGTATAGCAGAACTTTGGCTTTTCAAACTTTGTCATGCTCTTTATGAACCTCAACACTTTTCCACATGGCATACGTATAAATGACTAGCTTGAGGATGTTGTTGAAACTGCAGGAAACTAAAAAAATACAGCGAAGATTTAAACCAGACACTAGTGAAGCGCTGATGGCTCCTGCCAGTGACATTAGTGAGTTCTGATCAGGTACTTTGTTTCTTAGAACAGGTTAATTGCATTTTAATTACATTCAGTGCTTTTAAAATCACAAAGCTCTGTGAACTTGGAGAGTTTTTTAAAACACATACACGTTATAAGCCCACTGAAATAACAGAACATCTGTCAATTTAAAAATTTTACTAACTTGATAATTCATGATCTGACAGATGATCTACTAAGATGTCCCTTTCAGGAGAAAATAATTATGTTTGACAACAACATTCGCCTGTACTGGAAGAACAACTAATCATTCTCACTAGCAAATGGACACTTGTGCTAATTGTTGTGCTGATTTAGTCAGTCGTATTAGTAGAGGCTTCAGAAAATATTTGTCCAGTTTAAACTGAAAGTCCAGAATAAAGCCAAGGATAGTGTTATTGGCATTTTAAGTATATATATACACTATAAAGTTATCATCAGTAGATACTCACAAACCGTGCTTTTACTCTCTTAGGAAGCTCTTCATCCAGTGTATAGATCTCTTCTCTCTTCATTACTATTTGAGAACCATCTTCAAACTCAACCTAATTGAAAAAATGGGTATTTAAAAATAAAATCATAATTTAACTCTTGCAGGAAGTTTCTGGGAATGTCTCCAAACAAAAATATATGTGCAAACATAGAATATTTATATACAAATATTTTACTACCTATTTTAGCAAGGTACAATTAGGATAAAACATAAAAAAATGTTATTTCTTAGGAATTGCAACACATTCATAAATTGAAAATAATATCTAAGCACAGAGACTTCAAATTCAACACTGACACATATACAATAAAGTAAAATTTATTAGATTAGAAATGCTGAGCAGTAACAATACAGACATTATTTTGTAGGAGTGACGTATTAAAATGTCTTCATGTCATTTTTATTTGCCTCTAATTTTTTTTACTTGCTTGTAATAAATAAAAAGTTAATTTTAACATCCTGTGCTTCAAGGTTGAGGAAGACCATGTCAAAAGAAAGAAAGTATGAGTGACAACTAAGGAAATAGCAGTTAACAGAGTTTTATTGAATCTGATGGAATTTCTTTAAAATGCTCTGTTCAGAAGATGAAAAGCTTTATCATGCCTAGGTTTAGATTTAATCCAACACGAACCCTGTTAGTAGAAAATGAGAAAGAAAATGTAACTAGGTGTTGGGAATGTTAAAATGCTGAGGCTTTAAAGCATTTAAGTCTTTTCAGTAGCTGCTGGTATTTTTTTTTTATACTTCATCTAACGATTGTGAATTTCAGCTATTATGTATGACTGCAGTTTTAGTTCCCACAGAAACAGTACTTTAAAGTTTGGTATAAACTTAAAAGAAGTCCTATCACATCCTTAGGTGACTTAATGAGACCATATGAACTACAACAACAGACTTAGGTTGGAAGAATAAGCCCAAATACGCGCATAGGAAAACATTAAATTATCAAAAGTATTATCATAGATAAAACTGAAAAATCACATATTTGAACTTGCAAATGGACTGAGTTTTCTATGTTCAAATTAAAACCTTGCCATGACTGAGCATGTCAGATTAATTGGGAACAGCTGAAAAATCCGATGTAGTATATCCATTCTCAAAAGTCAGGGTAAATTAGATCGATGAACTATTAACTTATTTAAAAGCAATTTTTTTACAGCAATTTAACAGGGATGCACAGATCTGGAATGCACTTAAAATACACAGAGCACAGATGGACAGTAAAGTCACAAAAATCATCCTTGCTCCTCTCTGTTCCTGTTACTAACCCTATAAGCCCAGTTTGTTAGTAGTATGTTCGAGGAACTTAAAGGCAATTTGGCTTAAGATTATTTAATAAAATTATGGCAATTTAGGTATTTTTCAGTACGATGCAGAAGCAGCTTTTCTGCTATTCCCACTCCTTATTGCACAATATATTTGGTAACACGTTTTTGCGTAATAGAGTTGGTAATAATGTTTTTGCATCACTGGTCAAAGAACTGGGTGGGAAATGAACTCTGCCACTCCAGGAGATCAGAAAACCACCTCCTGAATGGGCAATCTTTTTGTTTTTACTGGCAGTGTACAGCAGCAAGCAACTGCATCAAACGACAGAGTCTGGCATGTTTGCAGTATGAAATATATTGAGCATTTACAATGAAGAGTAACTGGAAGTTCTTCAGCAATAATTCAGCATACCACACTGGAAGTAAATTTTCCATACCGTTAAAGGCAAACACAACAAGAGCTTCTCTAAGACTTTCAATGGTATCATGATTCATGCAAAATATAAACCCACCATCTCTAATAGTTCCAATTTAATCCAGACTTCAGACACTACATTTCAAATCATCAATTTTATCCAGCAAGTTATTTTATTTGGACTTCTGCTGCTGTACTGTGTCTAATATGTTATTCTTTCCATGAGTTTTTCTTTTATCAGGACATCATAAATTAAAGGGTCAGCTGAAATTGTTAGAAAGCAATTAATAGGGTGAACAGATAATTTAATAATCTCAAATGAAGTTCAAAAATAGATAGTGAATGTCAATATCACAACATCAAACGTAGATCACATTAACAATTTCACTTGAACACCTGCTCCATTTGGCATGTATAACTCTGCTTAGGGATTGTGTAGGATACTGGGTCGTGAATGTCAAACTAGATGACACGAATTCTGGTGCATTGTGTCATAGCTCCTGCATACACAAGTACTGTAGCAATTGGTACAAATGTCTCATGAACATGAGGAAAATTCAGTTTTATCCAAGTAGAACAGATGTGCCTTATTAGATCATACTACTCATTTCAGAGTCCTTTTCCATCTTTTTGTACCATCTAAGCAATCACAAAAGACTTGGTAAGAGAATCTCAAGGCTGCAACAGAGACCTCACAACCCAGAAGAAGAACGGAGCATGCGTAGGCATGGGTCCTAGGAGCTATCAAACAGGCTATGTAGAAGGACCAGAGGAAGAACTACTAATGTGTCTTGAAGTTAGCCTTGCACCCTCCATGTAACAGACTTTCTGTAATCTGTGGCCATGTTGTGGCAGCCCCCTCTCCCGTCCTACAGATTGAAATACTTGTTTGTCTCCAAAGTCCTATTTAGTGCAATCTGGACTCCCTCTAATTCTAATCCTCAATCTTTTCTATTTCCTCTGTGATAGGGGTTGCTACAAGGCAGTTTACTGTAATCTCTCATGACTGTTATGCTGAGGAACTCCAAACCTTACTGAACCCCCACATACTAATCCATTTTCCTTCAACTAAACTGATTTCATCATATTGTCCAAAAGTTCTAAAATAAGACAAAGTAGTTTGTTTTGACTATGTCACATTCCTTCCAATACGAAAGACAACAACATTCATCTAATCTACCTCACAGTATTCCTCAGAAGACCCTGTTTAGAAGATTAAATGATTTGAAGATTAATGTTACTATACAACAATAATCTTTATATTTTATAAAGAACTTTTCACCTTCACTATATAATACAGCTGCTACACATAAGGAAGAGGTAAGATTTAGAGACTAGCTCAAGGGATCAGGCGTTTGAGGACTTGAGTTCGATTGCAAGTCATTGGCAAAGTGAGAAGGTCAATGCAGCAAGTCATTTGGCCTCCCTGTGCCTTAATTTATCTACAGATATAATAGTAAATTTGCCACTTTTGTAGAGTAATGTGAGGCCCTCAGATGAAAAGAGTTACGTAAGTGAAAATGATTATATATATATAAATGAAATGTAGCTAGATTCTCATTCTTTCAGAAGTGCTATTATTATTGTGATTATTTTATTGCAGTTTCTACCATTCACTTGGGTACTCAAAGCTGCTGACTGATTTTTCTCAAAGGCAAGCACATAAAAAAACAATTACTGTGTCTCTGAAATCAGAAGTCAGCTTTTTAGCCTTGCCTTCAGTGTTCAGTTCCCTTTTGCCTTTGCTGAGGATAAAACACTCCTTAGATTATGTGTAAATTAATTCAGAATTGCCTCAGACAAATGAAAGTGGGGGTATTTATGCTCTTCCTTTTACTGTCCTCCCTTCCATCCTTTTACAAAATGCCTAAGGTTCATTTTAGTCACAGAAGAATTCCTAATTTTATATCATTAATTGTATAATTACCTGACATAAAATAAAAGTAAATAACCTGGAGAAAATAACAAATGTTATCTTTCAATCTTAATGTTCCACCTGTTCACCTGAGTTCTTGTTAAATAACCCACTTTGTTGATTTTGTAAGAACAGGTGAAACCTCAGCTCCCAAAGAATGCACAGCACTTGTTAATTGTTAGACAGCTTTATTTATTGTTTAAATGCATTAGCGGTTACAATAAGAGTCCACCCTCCAGCCTTCTGCAGCTTTGAAGGTGTGGCTGGCCAGTCCAATGCTGGAGTTGAATGGGCAATTTGCACTAAAGACATCTGAAAAACAAGCGCATGGTAATAAATGTAGACACCCACCTGATACATGTGAGCTGTGTTTGTTCCCAGGTACTTTGCACCATACAGTTTTCCATCAGGCCACTTCACTTGGACAACCTCTCCCTCCGCAGGTGGGCCCAGCCTTAGGCAATCTCTGCTCTATTTACAAAGAAGGATGGATTCTCAAATCAGTGAGTGAGCCATTACACTTTGAAATTACCAGTAAGCTGCTTTTTACAAGTTGGTAATTGGAGGAGATTCATTACCTTGCGTGTGTCAGGTTTTATAATCCTGCTAATGGGCTAACAGAAGATACTGTTAGCCTTTATGAAAATTAAATACTGACCAAAGAAACATTCTTTTTACAGCTCGACACTGCATTGGCAAGGCAACATATGCAAAAATCAGATTGCTATCAGCAACTGTGATACATTTCCCCCCAAATTAATTTCCGTCACACACTGAAAATAGACATCACTAAAGTGCAATTGCATTTGTGCAACACTTTCTCTTTTACATACTCAAGTATCTCATGTTTTGTTAACTACAGCATATTTTTGCTAGTTGCCAACTTTCCTGACTGAAACATACCCTGATGGATCAAACTACAAATGGCGAGAACGCCAATGAGTTCTTTGCTTAGCTGATGGAGAAACACTGAATGAATCCAAATGCTTATAGAGAAGAACTAGGTAGGACTGGTTTTTTCAGAGGATATGAGGCAGCTTTTTCCTGTGTTTTGCCCAGATTTTGTGCCTGACTTGTTGAGCATGTCAGAGCAGCAGAGTTTATGCTAGTTGCAACGCATTCTTGTTATGGTTTCTTTTGCCCCATACGACTCAGTATGACCTACGTGACTCATTTGCAGACCACACTGACCACACACCCATAGTAACAGCTGTCCACATGAGGAAATATCCAAAGGACCAGAAAAGGATCATGTCAGGTCTATGCTCACCAATTCTGTGGAAGCTTTCTGTGCCAAATACTCACCCCAACAAAGGCATCTGGACTTTGTACTGACTACTTCACAAGATTTGTCATGTAAATTAGCACTATTTTAGTGGTATTCTCCTAGATAACCACGTTAACTGAGCTCACTGCTAAGAGGTCTAGACTGGGAAGAGAAAAGATAAAGCCAAGGACTCAGTGACAAGGTCCTGCAGGACCTGGTATTATCTCAGGCTGCTGCAGTACTATTACTGTTTTCAAAGTCTCGGATTTATAGAATAATTTACAAAAACTATTGTATTTTTTAGTTCAACAGTTCACTTCCAACAGAGGCCAACGATCATCATGACAAAGAACTCAAAATGTGGGAACAAAAATGCATCACAGTGATCCGCACTGGGACATTATCTTGTTATAATATCATGCTAGCCAAATCCAGGCTTTATAAACTGCTTTTAACCACATGTATCTTAATCCATGAATTTGATTCAATGCATGAGAAAAGTGAAAAGCTGGATTTTCACAGAAACACATTTTCCTGCATGACAACACTGTCACCCCTCAGGTGCTGTGCCAAGGGGACAGCTCTAAAATATGCCCTGTGTTTTTGCCTGCCAGAGGTTGCAATGACAGACAGAGAAAGATGTATTCTTTCAACTTCACCATATATTTGGGGTAGTGGGTGGTATTACTGTACTACCCTTCCCAGTATTTCCAGGACAGGCAGGGGGAGAGGGGAAAGGGCAGGGGGTGGCTGCTGCCTCCTGCTCTCCAACAGTGGAATAATTATGACTTCTCAGGGGATAGGGACTGCTAAATACGATCATAGCTCTGACTATAAATTAGATGACACTATATTTTTAATGTTCTCTTCTCAGTGATGACTGTCAAGATGCTTATTGTCATTATCATGGAGGACATATCCTCTATCTATTTATTGCTATCGTGCAAAAAGGAGTTTTGGTTAAGTGTCTCGAACAAACTTTTTAAATGTATCATTGAAGACTGCAAATTTCCTGGAAACAAAAAATCTATCAACAATGTCAAGCCAAACATTAATTTTACAAGAACAAAAGCCCAGCATGAATTCTTCCCTTTGCACCTTGCACAAAAAACCCCATCTCACAGTTTCTCTAGGACAGCTAAAGGAAATGCTCATATGGAAAATTAGAGTTCTCACGCAAATAACTAGACAAATAACAATCCCATTCTTCATGTATCACAACAATGTCTTAGTCTTTGGATCAACGTTTGGAAAACCTGTACTAAATAGTTTTTGCTGATTTCTGCCAGAGTTCCTCTCTTTTATTTTCACATCACATGACCATTTTAGAGATTCTCCTTTTACTGCAAAAATATTTCTCACCATTTTCTTCTGGGGAATGATTTCTTAAGCTGCCAAAATTGCAAAAATGCAACCTCACTTTTCTCAGTCATAAAATGAAAAGTCAGACATCAAGATATGGCAATCCTTTGACATTGCCATAGACCAGCTGTAAATAACATACAGTGTGGGCTCAGCCTACATTCAACTTGTAAATCATGTAAATTTCCCATACCATTACATAGTATATTTTCTTTTTCACACAAATAGACAAAATCGTGCCTATCTACACTGCAAAGCCTATTCACTTAAGTGTCCAGGCTCACATTCCAGCTGTTTCACAGGTCAGAGCCCCAGCTCCAAGCATGGTAAGATACAGAACATCGCTCAGGGACATATCCAGTTGGGTTTGAGTATCTCCAAGGATGAACACTTCCCCACCTCCCTGGGCAACTAGTCCCGCACTCAACAAGCATCACAGTAAAAAAGTCTCTTCTTAAGTGAAGAAAAATTTAATCTTAAGGAATTTCCTGTATTTCAGTTGATACCCATTGTCTTTCATCCTGTCACTCTGCACCACTGGGAACTGCGTGGCTCCATCTTCTTTACTTCCCCCATCAGGTCCTTACACACTTGGATAAGATCCCCCTGAGTCTACTATTCTCTAAGCTGAACAGTTCCAGCTCTCTCAGCCTCTTCTTATATGACAGATGCTCCAGTTTCTTCATCACCTTCCTAACCTTTCACTGTATTTACTTCTGCATGTCCATGTCCTTCTTGTACAGATGAGCCCATAACTGGACACAGCACTCTAGATATGGTCTCACCAGTGCTAGGTTTACAGCCATTCAAAAAAGTTTCTTTATGAGCAAAAACCTGTGAATAACGAAAACTCTACAGCTTGTTTATTACAGGTGTTTTTTTCTGGGTTTAGAAACATTCACGTTGGGGTTCACTATATGCATTGAACTAAAATAATAAGTAAACCATTCTCAACAGATGTTAGAAAAAGATGTTGAAATACTGGGGTTGCCTCCTATGCTGTCACTACAGAATTCTTGTGTACAGCACTAGAGATAAAGCAGAGACTTCTGCTGTTTTTCTCTTCTGATATTCCTCTGTTTTTACCACACAAGTTGAACAATATTTTTGTTCATTAAGGCTGGACAGAGCATTTGCAAGCAGCAAATCCAGTTGCAGTAGCAGGGTGGTGATTGTTGACTCAGACTAGGAACAAATGTGGAGCCACACCCAAAAAAAGGGAGGAAGTCTGCACCTAAAGCATGCACTTGAATCCAGGAACTGTGAGATGTTGCAAGATTCCCACAATTTGAATATAACCACTGACATCTTAAGAAAATACCTTAATTTTTTAAAAGTTTAAAAAAATACATACAAACACTTTCTTAAATCAAGGCTAACAGGCATAGATACTCTGCTCTAAGATGAGCTATTGAAACTGCTCTCTAAAACTGTCAGAAATAGATGTTCCTTGAATACCTATAATTTTATTTTAACAATCTTGTGCTATTTCAAATTCAACAATTATTTTGAAAATGATAAGAATATAAGAGCCTTTGACTTCTTCTAGGTTTGATCCAAAGGAGCCACATTGAAAATAAACATCTTTAATGAATTCACAGGAAAGAGAAAATTCTGTGGTGCAATCCTTGCAGTCATAGAATCATAGAATGGTTTAGGTTGGAAAGGACCTTGAAGATCATTGAGTTCCAACCCCGCTGCCATAGCCAGGAACACCTCCCACTGGACCAGGTTGCTCAAAGCCCCATCCAACCTGGCCTTGAACACTTCCAGGGATGGAGCTCCCACAACTTCTCTGGGCAACCTGTTCCAGTGCCTCACCAACCTCACAGTGAAAAACTTCTTCCTAGTATCTTATCCAAATCTCCCCTCTTCCAGTTTGAAGCCATTACCCCTCGTCCTACCACTACGTGCCCTTGTAAAAAGTCCCTCCCCATCTTTCCTGTAGGCCCCCTTTAGGTACTGGAAGGCCGCTATAAGGTCTCCTCAGAGCTTTATCTTCTCCAGGCTGAACAACCCCAACTCTCTCAGCCTGTCAACATGACTAAACTGGCTTGTATCTTCAGGCACTGGCTAAAAGAAGTCTGCAAGTTAAGTTGATAGTAGAAAGGATACTGTAGTCTTTCATGTCAAGATTGTATTAGGAAAGGATTAAATTATTCTGTGACTACAAATATCAGCCAATGTTAATGTACAGAGTCTCTGGTCTGACAGAAAGCCAGATAGAGAGAAAATCTTAGAAAGGAAAATATTGACATGGCCAAAGTAGAATATTTGAGAATTTAATGAAAACCAGAAAGTTTTCAGTTTGAGGAATTTTCCTCCAGCGAGGAAGGCAGCAGCTGAACAGAACAGTCCTGGAGACGACAATACATAATTTAATAACACTTAAAATAAAAATTCTGTTCGGGTTAAATACATAAAAAGGAAAAAGCTCTCAAAAACATTTCTGAATATTCTGAACACACAAAACCCCCACCGATTCATTCCTCCTAAATCTAGCAGCATGAAACGTTCTTCATTAGCTTGTACAATGTTCTGCCTTTCAGCAGTCAGCTTATAGCTCAATGTTTGATCTTTAAGGAGCTTAAACGGAATCATATACTTCCAAATCTGATTCAGCCTGTGGTGAATGTGGAACGTGATTGGTGAAGAAGGGATCAATTAACTCCTTTAACTTAAAGTAATGGTCATAAAGGTTAAAATTGTATTTAATATCATAGCAGTAACCTTGGTCATTGTATCTCAAGAATTTGTTTGAAAAGAGGAAAATGCAGCCCATGCGGCATCTCTTACAGGAGGTATAAACCCAACAGTAGTCAAATATTTAAAATTACTGCTA